CAGAGTTTGTTACTTGGGTGATTATATAGTAAGAAGCCCAGATTTGGACCTAGGCTCATCTAATTGCCAGTCCTAGTCCTCTTTGACATACTACCTCTCCTGCTTACAGTTATAGACCTGTATGTTGGCTCTTTCTATGTACAGAACGGGTGGTTCATGAATAGGGACCAGAAAAATGACTTTATCATTGTGTACGATTTAAATCAGTCCACCCTTGCCTCTTTGAGAGATGTGCAGGGACATGGAAATAATCTTGTTATACAAAATTGTCTTAATTCACTTGGGCAACTATAAGAAAAATACCATAGACTGGGTGGCGTAAACAACGAACATTTACTTCTCACAGTTCTGGAGTCTTGGAAGTCCAAGATCAAGGCACTGGCAGATTCAGTGTCTGGTGAGAGCTCACTTCCTGGTTCATAGACGTTGTGTCCTTCCATGGCAGAAGGCGTGTGGGGGCTCTCTGGGATCTCTTTAATAAGGGCACTAATCCCATTCGTGAGGGCTCCACCCTCATGACCTAATCACCCCCAAAGGTCCCATCTCCAAATACCATCACATTGGGGATTAGGTTTCAATATATGACTTTTGAGAGGACACAAACATTCCATCTATAGCAAAAATATTGTCTATAGTAGTCCCCCTATACCTTTGGTTTCACTTTCCATGGTTTCAGTTACCCATGGTCAACCATGGTCCAAAAATATTAAGTGGAAAACTCCAGAAAGGAACAATTCATAAATTTTAAATTGTACCCCATTCTGAGTAGTGTGATGAACTCTTGCATCATCCTGCTCTGTCCTGCCCAGGACATGAATCATCCCTTTGTCCATCATATCCACACTGTATACACTATCCACTCATGATTACTTAGGAACCATCTTCATTATCAGATTGACTGTCACAGTATCACAGTGCTTGTGTTCAAATAACCCTTATTTTACTTAATAATGGCCTTGAAGTGCAAGAGCAGTGATGCTGGCAATTCGGACATGCCAAAGAGAAGTTATTGTTGTTAATCTCTTACTGTTCCTAATTTATAAATTAAACTTTATCATAAGTATGTATGTATAGGATAAAACATAGTATATACAGAGTTTTGTGCTATCAGAGGTTTCAGGCATCCACTGGGGGTCTTGGAACATATCCCCTGTGGATAAAGGAGACTACTGTATAATGGCATTCATGGTGACAAGATTTCACATGTGGCCAAGAGTCAGAGAAACTGTGTTTTAATCCTGAATCAGGGGAGTGGGTGTGTACATGGATAGGAAAATGTACCAGGCAGGATAAAATCCAAGATCTTAACATTGCATAAATTGAATTTCCTTTGTGAAATAGTTGCTAAAAAGTCTGACCTGTAACTCTGCCTCCTTGAAACACATCTCAACACCCCCCAATCATTCAGAGTTTACCATTTGCTCTCTCAGATTGTCAGATTTTTTTAAAGTATATAGTATATAAGAATTGTCAACTATTTCCTATCTACTCTGTCTCCTCAAAGAAATTGCCTGAGGGCAAGGACTCTTACTTTTCCCTGCAACCTTTGCTTGGTGCTCCATCATTGTTGACAATGATGGTAATAATGATGAAATAGAAAAAGCTGTGCTTTCGGGCTGGCCCAGTGGGGCAAGCAGTTAAATGCATGTGCTCCGCTTCGGCTGCCCAGAGTTCGTGGGTTTGGATCCCAGGCGAGCACCAACGCACCGCTTGTCACACCATGCTGTGGTGGCGTCCCATATAAAGTAGAGGAAGATGGGCACGGATGTTAGCTCAGGGCTGATCTTCCTCACAAAACAACAGAAAAAGCTATGCTTTCTAGTCAGTAGATGAACAGGTTTGAGCACCCATGTGCTCAACCCCACTCCCTGGTTATGGGGTACCCCAAACGAGGGAAGACAAGGGCCTTTTCCCTAAGGAGCCTGCAGCCTTATCTGTTCCCTCCTGAGGGAGTGGCAGGTAAGGGCTGAGGTAAATCTGTTTTCCTCCCGTTTAAGCAGTCTGTTGACAGTAGGCAAAGGGAAAGGGATGATCCCCGCCTATTTTGCCCTGGCGAGGGAGGTCTGCGGCTGGCCAGTAGGGGGCGGTCCAAAGGACCATGCTATCGTTCGTTAGAGGGACCCACACAAGACGCGAAGAAAATCACGGCCTCTGGAAATACTCTGCCCTCCTTTCCTTTCTGATTTTCCTCAGAAGGGGCCAGGAGAAATTGGAAGGTCTGGACGGCGGGGAAGATGTAGGGGTCCTTTGCAGTTGCAGCTCCACCTCCCGGTGTCCCGCGATGAGACACACAGGCTGAGTTTGCCTGGACAGCCGCGTAGAGGGGCGGGACGCAGAGAAGCGCGGTGCCAGGGCGGAGCCCAGCGGACTCTCGGATCCGCCCTCTCCCGAGCGGCCCCGCCCCCATCGCTCGAGCCACGCCTCCGGGACGCAGGCCCCGCCCCCGCAACCCCGCCCCTTCCCCGGGCCCAGGCTGGGCTGCGCTCACTCCCCAGCGGGGGCCCCGGGAGCCTCCAGGCGGAGAGGCTCCCGCCCGCCCTGAGCCGCGGCCTCCGCATGGAGGGGCCGCTCGCTCAGCCGCTGCAGGGAGACGGAGCCGCCGCTGTTTTGGAGCCCGGAGCCCGGCAACACCCGGGACACGAGACGGCGGCGCAGCGGTACAGCGCCCGCCTGCTGCAGGCCGGCTACGAGCCGGAGAGGTGACGCCCAGGGCAGAGCGCGCGGGGCGCATCCGGGGCGGGCGCGGCGGCTCCGGGAACCAGGCAGCACTGCGCGGGAGGGGAGGGACAGGCCCCACCACCCTTGCGCTCTAACCGCCCCAACCTCTAACTTCCTGAAACTGGGCTCAGACGCCACGCACCTGGCTTTGGTTGGGGGATGCAGGCGGGCACTGTGCAAAGGGTTCGGTGCTGCGTTGCACCGGGGAGCAGGTCGGAAAAACGCTCCCTAAAATCTTAGCCCTGGATCGGACGTCGACTACACACTCGACGACACCTGGTCCAAGTAGCTCCTGAGGTTCAGATAGGCTTGTTAGAGTCCCTGTCCAACTTTGCTTACTCCTCCTTAGCTGTTTCCTCCTAGAACTATCTTACGAGTCTTACTGGCAGGTGTAGGTGTCCAGATGGATCGCCTCCTTAGAGCCGGACGAGAACACTGTCCCCTCCTTACCATTCACTGAGGTCTGATGAGGCTGCCAGTGCAGCTCATCTCAGGGTATTTCTTAAGATTCAGGACCTTCTCTTGCCTTTAGCCTGCTGGGGTTTGTAAGGGTCACTGGAGGAAGAGTGGGGGAGTTGAGCTGGGCCCCAGGAGGACTGGCTGAAAAGGAGACAGTGACTAATCTCTGGATTGTATCGCAGCTTGAAATGCAATCCCACTGTCCTTCCGGTCCAGAGGATTTGGACTTCTTTCTCTGCCCCATCTGTTGGTGCTCAGCAGCTTGGGGAGGTGACCTGGAAGCTGGTTTGGGGTGGGGGTGGGGGGTTGGTCTGGGGGAATTAGCCCTGCAGCTCCCCTCAGGGGCTGGCCGCTTATGTAAGAACTTTTAAGGGCTTAAGGGGCTGCTGAGTGAAGGCTGTCTCCTTCTGCCCCCATAGGCTGCCTGTCTAGAATTGCCTCCCTTTCGGGCAACCCTATTCTTCCTCCCATCCTAGAAATCCAGCTATCAGGGACCAGGGCCATAGGGAGAGGCCACAGGAGTGAGGGAGCAGGCTGGGGCACTTGGGGGCTGGATGGAGGCAGAGCCTTGGTTAGAGCAGGTATTGCGGAAGTATAATTTCAAAGTTCAGAGCAGGGCCATGCAGGAGCATCCCTTCTCCAGACTGTACTTCTGCATCAAGGGGCCATCCCCACCCCCCACCAGGCTCCGAAGAGCACTGTAAAACCTGAGCCCCACCTAGGTGGTGTAATGAGATTCGAAACCTGCTGGCTAGACCTCCATCTGCCATCACTAGCTTAGAGCTGTGGGAAGACTACCGGATTGGATGAGAAGTCCTGGGTTTAAGGCCAGTGTTACTGCTCTCTGGCTTGAATTTGGGCAAGCCATGTCCCCTGTCCCAGTTCAACAGTGCCAATATTGTTGTTATCTCTTCTTCCCCCCCCACCCATCCCCAATCCTCCCTCAAAGGTGTTTTGAAATCTTGTCCCTTCAAACAGCTGCAGACCAGATAGAGACCTCTGGGCTCCCAGCCTGGACCTTAGTGCCCAGCTGGGCACTATTCCCCCACTACCCTGAGGAAGGGGCTTGAAGGGGCTCAGACCTGCTCTCCTGCCCTGCTGCCCTCACAGCTGCCAGGTGGGGAGTCTCAGGGGACCAACGCCTCTTCCTTGGGCTGAGGAGGCCCATTGGTTACCTCCGTGTCTCCTCCCCATGGAGGAAGCAGCTGGGGAAGATCAGGAAGAGGGAGGAGTAAAGCCGGTGCGGGGGTAGGAGGGGGATGGATTAACAGTTTCTGGGAAAGGACAGCCTAACCCAGGGCTGAGCCTAGCAGCTTAGAGCTATGAGGAGCCCTGACACAGGTCAATGCAGTAGGGGGTGTGGGGCAGCAGGAGAAGGGAATGGGGCTGTCAGATCTGCTGTCACTGGGAAGGGGACCCTCCCCACAACTCAGCCTGGCAGCCTCCTCCCCTGGGTCTGAGTTCTAGGCTGGGGAAGATGTCACATTAAGGTCACCTGAGATGGCAGAACCCAGCTGCTGTTCTGGGCCCCAGCCCTGGTGGAACCCTGAATAGTACCCTACCCATTCCTGACCCATGCTGTAGGGGATAGTGACCCAGAGCAGCTCCCTTAGAGACCCAGAGAGACCACAGGGGCAGCCTGTGCTTTGTGCCTGCAATTACCATTATAGCCCTGTCCTTCTATGGCTAGAATGTGTCCAGGGCAGCTCTGAATGGCCAGGGTGCTGGGCTGGTCTCACTGCTCTGCCTCCAGGTAGCCAGTAAGAAGTCCTAGTGCTGGTCTCCCCAGGATAACCCCTCTTCCCCCATATGGCTCGGGCCCTCTGGATGAGTCTGTGAGTGCTGAGGAGTCAAGTGCTCCACAGGCATCCCTGGCAAGCTGGCACCAGACCCCACTCAGCAGAGAATCCCAGCAGGCGCGCTCCCTCCTTTTTCATGCCAGAGGGCCTTCAGAGGCCGCCATCAGGAGCGCTCCTTGGGGCTCCCCTGGTGGAGAAGGAAGCTTAGGGTCTGTGATGTTCTGGTCCCCCACAGTAAGAGGAAAGAGGACACTGTGGATGTCTGTGAATCTCCTCCAGCACTCTCAGCCTCACAGGCCTCATCGCCCTAGCTCTGTGGGAAGCCGCCCCTCCCCTCTGCACACAGATGGAACAGTCTGTGTTTTCCTGGCAGGGTCCCGGGGGCATCATTGGGGGAGGCTGGGCATCCCAGGGAGCCTCCCCTGGGCCTGGCTGCCACTGCACCGCTGAGAGGTAAACAAACCAGCCTCCCAGAGCTGGGGAGGGAGAGAGGGAGCATCACAGACAGCCACCTTGCCAGAGAGAGGACTGTGTCCCTGCCCCGCCTTTCTCTCACCTCACCAAGAAGTGAGCTGTGGCGACCACAGGAGGACAGAGAGAGGAGACTATGGAATTTGGGTTGGGGGGGGTGGTGGGGAGATCTGCTCTTTAGCTTTTGGTTAAGGAGTAGCATTAGCAGTTCTGGTCACACAAGAGGAAGGGTCTGGCCCCTGCTACTCTACCTCCCCCCATGTGAATCAATTTGCTACCCAATCTTATTGCCCCCATGTAGAAATCTGGGTCCTTGCTGGGCACACAGAGTCCACACTTCTACTTTGGGAAATTCTCAAAACTTCGCTAGCCTCTGTCCTAATTTGTATGCATACTTACTTGCCCAAGCCAAGCCTGTGGTCCTCCCTCATCCTCCCGCCACACTACCCTCCCAAATAAAGACAAACTTTCCTCTCTGGGGTTAAAACCCCTGGTCTCCACACCACTTTCTGAGCTGGGGATACGACAGGGATGTCAGACTGAAGCATTGGACAAGGAGTCAGAAGCAGTACAGCTCACCCCCCCTTTCTGAACTGTAGGTTTTGCATCTGTAAAATGGGGGTACCTAATAATTGGCAATTAATAGATGTTAAGTTGTGATCATTTATGAAAAGTGCCTTGTAGGGGCCGGCCCAGTGGTGTGCTTAGTTAAGTGTGCGCACTCCGCCTTGGTGGCCCAGGGTTCGCAGGTTCGGACCCCGGGTGCACACCGACGCACCGCTTGTCAAGCCATGCTGTGGCTGCGTCCCATATAAAGTGGAGGAAGATGGGCACAGATGTTAGCCCAGAGCCAATCTTCCTCAGCAAAAAAGAGGAGGATTGGCAACAGATGTTAGCTCAGGGCTGCTCTTCCTCACAAAAAAAAAAAGAAAAGAAAAATGCCTTGTAAACTGCAGAGGGTGCCAAGGCCACCCAAAGGTCAGGGAGTGCCATTGTTAAGAATGCCTGCCTCCTTGGAATGATGTCGGGGTTGAGGGGAGTCAGGAGGGGGGGTACACTACTGGGAGGGTACAACCTCAAACTCCTCTGTGTTGGGGAGCTGTGAGCCCAAACCAGTTTCTCAGAGCTGTGGGCTCTGATCAGAGTCTGGGCCTTAGTCTTGGGGAAAGGTAACCGTGTTAGAGGTACCACTGGGGATGGGGAGTAGGGCCAGAGTAGACTCAGACTGGCGGGGGCTGGGTGGCCCGAGGTGGCCCAGGCTAGGGGCGAGCCTGGGGTCGCGCTGCGGGGGGCCTAGGAGGCGGGACGGGAAGCGGCGGAGGGGGCGTGTCCCGGCCTGGTTCAGCCTCCTCCTCCTTTGGACCCACGCCCCCACCCCCTGCCCTGGCTCGCGGGGGCCGCTGTGCCACTGCAGGCGGCCCTGGGCGAGCGTGCAGCAGCGGCGGCCGGGCCGGGCTCCGCGGAGCCCTTTGTGCGGCGAGGGGCGGGGACGGCGGT